CAATATGATTATCCTACCTGTATGCCTGTATCATTTTTGTATCTGAAGTTACAGATATAGTCTATATTCCTATTACAAATATGGTTACACCTGGGGAATGCCCACTAGGAAGAATACAATCAGTCTAGATGGCTGGCTTGGAAGGGCCATTAGAGAAAACAATAGGCCTTAGAAGAAGTTTATCTCCCACTGAGGATGCTACAAACAGCATCCAAGTCATGGCTGCTATGACACTACAGGGGCATGTGACCAGCTCACCTGGTACTGGACTCCATCTTGGAATACCATGTTTTTCCACTGACTGGTGTGGGAACCAAGCTTGGGGAAAAAGGGTTCCCACCATATGCAAAAGCTATTTAAGGCAGGAGAGTGACATCATCATGGTTCTTCACAGACTCCCCGTCCAAAGAAGACTCTTGGAAACACCTGAGGAACAAGGATGGAAGTGGGGGGGAAGTGCTGGACCCTGGCTAGAGGGGTTTCTAGCCTGAGAGAGGAATACCTGGGTTTTTTAAGTTACAAGCAAGAGCAGCTGGCCCCTTAACAATCTCTGCAACTGGCTTAAATAATCATTTATAGGGCCCTACCAAATTCACGGCCATGAAAAACACATCACAGACCATGAAGTCTGGTCTCACTGGTGAAATCTGGTCTTGTGTGTTCTTTTACCCTGTACTATACAGATTTCACTGGCGAGACCAGCATTTCTCAAATTGGGGGTCCTGACCCAAGAGGGAGCTGCAGGGGGTTATTTTTTTGCAGGGGTTGCAGTATTGCCATCCTTACTTCTGCACTGCCTTCAGAGCTGGGCGGCTGGAGAGTGGCGGCTGTTGGCTGGATGCCCAGCTCTGAAGGTAGCGCCCCACCAGCAGCAGTCCATATGTAAGCCTGACAATACCATACCATGCCACCCTTACTTCTGCACTACTTCCTTCAGCGCTGGGCAGCTGGAGAGTGGGGGCTGCTGACTGAGGGCCCAGCTCTGAAGGCAGCAGCGCAGAAGTAAGGGTAGCAATACCATACCCCAGGCCATTCTTACTTCTGCACTGCTGCTGGTGGCGGCTCTGCCTTCAGAGCTGGGCTCCCGGCCAGCAACCGCCCCTCTCCAGCCACCCAGCTCTGAAGGCAGTGCCACCACCAGCAGCACAGAAGAAAGGGTAGCAGTACTGCAATCCCCCCTACAATAACCTTGCTACACCCCCAAAACTCCTTTTTGGGTCAGGATCCCTACAGTTACATCACCATGAAATTTCAGATATAAATAGCTGAAAATCATGAAATTTATGATTTTTAAAAAAATCCTATGAGCATGAAATTGACCAAAATGGACTGTGAATTTGGTAGGGCCCTAATCATTTAGGGTGAGAATTTGCTACTCATATCCAATCTCTTTAGTATATCAAGCTCAGATTGCATTTTTGTTCATTTGCTAGGGACTCTGCTTTGATCTGTTTGCTCTCCCTTATAATCACTTCAAATCTCTCTTTTGTAGTTAATAAACTTGTTTTTGTTTTGTCTAAAACCCGTGTGTGGAAATCATAGCTTGGGGCAAAAGGCTGTGGCATATCTTTCTCCACACTGACGGAGGGGGCGAATTTCATGAGCTTACGCTGTACAGTTCTCTATGCAGCGCAAGACGGTATCATTTTGCATTTACCCTGCAGGGGGGGGGGGTGCCTAAGTGGCTGGGAAGTTCCTTAGCTGAAGCCTTCCCATGCAGAGCTGATCACTGCGTCTGTATGTTTCTGCAGCGGGGTGTGTCCCTAAGCGTATGTGTGCTGGAGGGGGCTTGAGAGCCTGTCACAGCAGTACAGTGTAAAGGGAATCCAGGCTGGTGGGTCAGGAGGGCTCAGTGATACCGCAGATGCAGGTGGCATGCTGGGGGGAATCCGTCACACACTCAACGTCCTCATCATCTTACCACGAGCTGTCCGTTTTCTGGTTACGAGATTTGATCTCACTCCAGAAATGCTCCTTTTCCAACATCCCCGATGGCAGGATTCTGTGAGAAAATATTGGCAGTTCGAGTAAAACCATTAACGCTAGCTCAGGAATCCTAATCCCTCAAAATGAGTTACCAGCTAAAATAGTCTGGCCCAGATATGAACACCAGACCTATCCATAGGCCTGTTCTTTTGCCCCGCACCACAGGGATAAGCGGGTACATGAAATGTAGTTCTCAACCTTTTTATTTTATTTTTTTATACCCATAGCTTTTCTGAACAACCCTGTTAGGATTTATAGTGTCGAGACGGGATTATTCCCCTTACTTCTATTTCTTGTCCAAATGTAAAGAAATTAATTTTCTGGTCATAATTTCAGTACCTCTGGGACATTAGCAGGATGGAAGTAAAAATAGAACATCATTACAGTGTCAGGTAATGCAGATAAGTGTGACTAATAACCCGAGTGTCATTGATTTAATAATCTAATAATGTCTCTGCACACTCAGCGCTCAGACTCACCGATTGCAGATAAAGATTTAAACCCGGCTGAAGCAGCGGATTAGAATCAGCACATCAGCTGTAGGGATCACTGTCAGATCAGAATTGATGATAAGCAACCAATGGCTGGTGTCCAACAAGCCGGTAAAGGAGCAGCCGGGCATCTGCAGTTTGTGCTGCAAAGGGAGGAAAGTTTTCCATTCCCGTGGGTGACAGCGCACGGAGGTCACAGCTCCCCAGCAGACCGGCAGCTCAATTTCAAATAGAACCGGGCGCGGACTAGCACATTCAGGATAATGCTCACAACCAAGCTCTTCAGCAGTGAAAGGGAAAAAAGTTTTAATATGGGTGCAGTTTGTGACAAATGGCCTATGCTAGTGTGGTGGGTCCCATGCTTTTCCTGGGGGTAGTGGGTCAGGGCGCTGCCCCTGCTCCTATTCTTGGGCTCCTCAGGTGCCCTGGAGGGGGAGAGAAGGGGAGCGGAGAAGGGACCCAGGTTCGCCCCCTAATCCGGTCCCAGCCCCTTCACTTTCACAGGCTTCTTACCCTCTTTCCCCCTGGGCAGGGTTTCTCTCAGTTCTCTGTACTGGGGAGTCTCCCTTCCCTTGCTATTCTAATCCTCTGGTCAACACCACTATACCTCCAAACTCCAGTCAGCTCTCCTTCCCTCCTCCTGTCTGACTGAAGAAGAGGTTTTTATTAGGTCTGGGGTGGGGGCTTAATTGGCTTCAGGTGCTCTAATTAACCTGTAGTAACCGCCCCTTAATCTACAGGGAATAAGGCTCTGATCATTCTGGGGCTTGCGCTGGGCCGCCGCCGCTACCAGTTCAACCATTGGGACCGGTTTTGCGGCTGCTGTCCTGCTTGTCCTCCAGTGTGATGCGTCTGGTCAGCGAACAGAACCCAGAGGACTGGATGGATCTGTTGTTGCCGGGCCATTCGCATAAAATCCTCAAAGACGAGGAGTCCTTTTTTGATGGCCAGAAGATCCCCTGAGAGAGGAGGATTGCCGTCATCTGCAGGAACCTGCCTGTGCTGAAGCTCCTACGTAGAACCAGCCCCAGGTTAGAGATGCTAGGAGAGCCGTGGGATTGGAAACCAGCCTTCCTTCCTCTCCGGGCTGGAGCAGAGCTGAATGTTTTTAGTTGATCTGGTTGACGCTTTCGCTCCATCGTGCTCAAAGGGACCCTGCCCGTGGAGGGCTGTTGCCAAGACTAAGCCAGGGGACTTCTCCCCTCAACACACAGCCCTGGGGAGTCTGCGGACATGTGTACCCTCGACAACCACCCAGGTACCTACTGTGTCATCAGCAGTGTGATTAACGAATGATTTACTGCACCGTATTGACTACCCACAGGGCAAGAGAAGCTAGCTTGATTGCATAGTCCGTGTTAAACCCAGCAAGTAAAATCTAAAATAGAAATATCTCCCCTCTGATCTTTGTTATGGGGCAAGGGGTGACTTTAACAACAGCAGGTGAATAGAATTCAGACAGAAGTGTGCTGCTTTGGTTTGTTTTTAATGGGAACCACTGGCTTTAGCGAATTTTGGTGAATTTCCCTCATTAAAAATAATTTATTTTAACACACACACAAAAAAATCACTCTCCTGCTGCATCACAAGTTTTAAAACCACGCAACAGGGGTCTGGCTTCAAAGTCCCTCAAGTCAATAGGAGTCTTCCCATTGTCTTCATTGGGCTTTGGATCAGGCCCCAAATCCTTTAAGCTTTACTCCAAGTAAACTAATTTATTAAGAGAGAAGCTTCCTTGGCAGCATCTGAGCTCCACCGAGGGGGCTGCTGGGGAGGGATTTTCTGTGACGGGTCCTTGACTGTGGAGTGCACTCTCCACTTGGCCAGAAATGGCCCAGATTTGATCTTCTCCTGCACACGCTGACAGGGCCATCTTTTCCCCATCCCCCAAGTATTTAGGGAGGGTCTGGTCTGCAGGACATAGCGCGGAAGCCTACGGGTATTGCTTTGTTATCTGACAGCCGATGAATATCACTGCGGTCGTGAGGGTCTGACAAAGGAGCTGTTGGTTTTTCATTTTTCTTTCACTTGTTAACTGTTGTCTGAGGTGGCGGGTTTTTATGTTATTAGCTTTGTATTAATTATGGTCAGCGTTTCGTAGATTTTCAGTGTTGTAAAGAGACAACTGAAATAGAAAGCAACCCAGTAAGTAAACAGGTGGGTTCCAAATGCGTACGAAAAATAAAGAGAATACATTTTCCACAATGTATTTTTGTTGTAGTTGCCTCAGGATCACAGCAAGATACTACTTAAAACATGTTCGGTTCTGCTGGTCATTTTAACCCCAAACTCTGGTTTCTTCTGTTTCTGAAGGAATTTAGGGGTTGGAAAAAAAGGTGTATTTTTAACATGTTGGTTAACACGTCTTAAAACCCTACTGTGGCCAAGGCAAGAGTTAACGCTTGGGTGGAGCCCAAGGTTTACTTCCATCAGCCAATGTGTTCAAACTACAGCTCGCCTGTCTACACCTGAGGGCTGCTCTATTGGCTCCAATGGAGTTATGACAACTCAAACCTGCCGAGGCTCTGCTCCCCTGGTTTTTACCTGCTAGTCACTGCTTCAGAGGAACCCAAAGGAGTTAGTTGTCCAACCCCTACTGACTTCCAATAGGAGCTGGGCACCAAGGATGGGCTTTTCAAAAGCCCCAATGTCGGTTAGGGGCACACATCCCAGTGACTTTCAGGGCAATGTGTGCTCCTAAAGGCATTTAGGAGCTTTTGAAAATCCCATCCATTGCTCCCTGAGGTGTCTTTGACTATCCCAGGCTACATCGCTCCGTCTTTTGGTCTCTGCCTCCTAACCTGAGACACTACAGGACCTCTCACTGGCTTGCGGAAGACTGCTCTGAATGAATGTGTTTAAGAGGCAGTGGGAAGATCGGTGTGCACATGGCCTTCACTCCCCAGCGTCACACCCTCTCCAGCTGGACAGAGGTTCTTCCTGGCTAGAACCTACCGCACGGTGGGCCAAAGCAGCTACAAAGCATCCCTTCCCTCTGGCAGGCTAGCACCTGCGGATGAAATGACAAATTGATACAGTTCTGTAGCTGCTCTATGTCCTCCCCAGACAGGATATGAAATCCGTGCAGGGAAGGGTCTGTTAATGAGACATGACATCACGTTTATTATAATTCAGCTCAAACAGTGAATATTGATCTTTTCAAACTGTGTGTAGAAATAATCCCATTGCCCAGCTGGCATCTCCAGACTTCGGCGATTTGAGTTCTCTGCATTTTATGATTAGCACAGCAGCTGATGCCTCTCCGGCTCCTACGATTGCTTTGGGTGACACGTCAGGTATCAGGACATGATTAAAAGCAACAGCGGCTCAGTCACACCTATACTCGGTCGGAAAACGGTGTGTGAGGGTCTCTGGCAACTACGGCATCGTCTGCCTGCAGGCAACGATGTACTCAGCCAGCAGCCCTCAAAGCCAGATACCTCGCAGGGCGTTTCCACGCCAACGGGAGCCTCTTCTTTAGAGATCATGCTCTGTGCTGAAGGCAACATCCAGCCTTCTCCGACTTCAGCCCTTCTTCTAGTTTCCAGTTCACTTCCACCAAACAACAGAAGAATACATCCGGCGGAGTTGCTATAGTAACTCTTGAAAAAGAGAGACTGTATTAGTGCAATAGAGCCCAAAGACACTTACTATTACAAGAGAGTTAGTTGCTACTGTAGGACTCTTCTTTTCAAAGCGGGGCAAAAATAGGATTTTAAATGGAAGGGGTCTTGTATGGTTAACGATGGCGTCACAACCAACAGCTCCATTCTCGTAAAAGGAAAGTCACCTAGCACCACTGATATTAATTTTAGGCTCTATTCTGAAGGCTCCCCCTGTGCATGGGGGTGAATTTTACCCTAAGTACCTTGGAATCTAACATTTTTCTTTTTTTTTTAAAGATCCTTTTCCTTAGGTTCCCTCAAAATGATCCATTATTTGTTTGTTCCCTTAACTTTCTCTTTGGCCACACCATATCCGAAGTTTCCATTTATAAAGGGTTAATACACTAATAAATCTTGTAATAAATGATTAATCAATAGTCTGAAAGTCCAACAGGCTGCTTATAACTCGAGATAGTTGGAAAAATTCTGATGAAACATTTGGGGGGGGGGGGTTCAAAAGTTACCAATTTGTGAAAATCGAAACATCCATGGAAGCGCTTTGATTTCAACGCACTTCCGAGAGAACCAAGTCAGAGGTCCAAAGGAGCCCTGCCTGCCAGGCAGTTTTCGAAACCTGCCTCGTGTCCTGCCAACTCACCTGCCCAACTCCTTGTCAGCCCATCTAGTGGGCTGATGGGGAGTCAAGAGCCTGGAAGCCCTGGCTCCCAGAGTTTCCAGGGTCCACAACTCTGGGGCAGCCCCTAAGTGAACTGCCCCAGAGCTGGGGCTCCAATCCCTTTCAAGGAGAATTTCAAAACGCTTGGTTTTCCTTCCGAATTGGAATGAAACCAAAATTAGAAATACCACCATCTTCCAAAAGCAGAATGACCTTTCTCTGCCCAGGTGTATAGCCATCTATAATACATACGACTCATGGCTAAAACATTATTATTACATCTATTAAACACTCATGAACCATTTATAAATGGAATCTTTATATAAAGCATTACTTTCTTTTGTTTTACGTGTCATATAAAGCTTCCAGAAATATTCACCTCCAGTCAGATCTTTTGCTAGTGCCTGGCTACTCTGATATCTCTTTATGCAAAGCAATGTCCCAGGGCAGAATGGACTCTGACAGATGGTATTGAATGAAAGAAAGAAAGAAAGGAATAAAACAAGAAATGCAAGGAGATACCTAACATTAGCAGCAATTAGAGCGTCAGGCAGCCTCACTTTAGGTGATTTAGCAGTACTCTCACCCAAACTGCTCATTCGACAAAACACTATTATGAAAATAGATGTTGTCAGAAGCTGTTACTAATACAGAAAACATTCCTTTCTGTTATTGAACACTGTATCTTGTAACTGTCGTTTGTATTGAGGATGGTTTCCATTTTTCTATTTGGATTGGCCAAGTTTTCAAAGTAAAAAGGTATAATCATAAGAAGTAGACGTTGCGTGTGTGTACCCAAGTACTTGGCGCTGTTACTGTGCTTTCATTTATTTTATGTGCACACTCACCATAAGTACTGAGGATCATAAAGAAGGAACTGTCCTTGACTGTTAGATTACAAGAGGAATCACCTACTATATTGATTTTGTGCACGTGCGAGTTGCTTGTTTGGTAATTAGCTTTAGAATTACTGTTGTGCTCTTGTGATCAAATTTTCTTGCTGTACTATAGTCTCTATTCTACAGATAATCTTTCCTCTATATTATATTTGCTTGTGTGAATTGCCTGGTTGGTTATGCAAACACACATCTCGGACAGCCAATGGTCTGATTAACTAACCTGGTCTCTGTTATTCGAAGGGGGGTCTGATTGATAAGCAGGAAATAAAGGAGGATTTAGAGCTGCAAATGAAGGGTTCCCTCATTAGGACATTTAGTCCCGGGGTTAGAGCACTCACCTGGGATGTGGAAGACCAGGTTCAATTCTCCCCTCTGTCTAAATGAATACTTGCATATTCAGAGATATATCAGCAGGAAGTTCAAATCACTCTATGCCCACTACACAAATTGAAACATTCGGAATGACTCTGTTATTGCTGGCACGTGTCCTGGACCATACCTGAATAAGAGGTAATTATGTAACGGGTGAATTCAGACACACAAGATTGTATGTTACCCTGTCCCTGTGTTCCTTTACCAGGGTGCCCCGTCGGGGTGGGACGGGCTCTTTGCACCCACCCAGCCCCTGGTCCATGGAGTTCTGCCCTTTTAAGCTCCTCCCTCCAAGTCTGACATATCTCACAGCTGAGATGAGGCGGGGCTGATTGGGCCCACCACAGTTTATTAACCCCGTGTTGACTGGATGGGGTTTGTATACCCCATCACACACCCCATTAGGAACCCCAGTTAGGATTGCTGAGAACCGTTTGCCTTAGCCCAGTAGCTCTCAAACTTTTCTACTGGTGACCCCTTTCATATAGCAAGCCTCTGAGTGTGACCCCCCCTTATAAATTTAAAACACTTTTTTAATATATTTAACACCATTATAAATGCTGGAGGCAAAGCAGGGTTTGAGGTGGAGGTTGATAGCTCATGACCTCCCGTGTAATAACCTCACGACCCCCTGAGGGGTCCCGACCTCCAGTTTGAGAACCCCTGCCTTAGCCTGTAGTTCCTGGGCCCCAAATCCTGCATTACTTCAGTATCTAAAACCCCAATGGGCCATCCTCTCTGCTGGAGTGAACTGACACATTTCCATTGACTTCAGCAGAGGTGCTTCAATGGATGCCAACACAGGATTCAGCCCATTTATTATTATTAATTGCTTGGGCTGCAGTGATGCCTAGGAGCCACCGTCTTGGGCCAAGACCCCATTGTGCTAGACGCTGCACAAACACAGAACAGCAAGAGGGTCTCTGCCCCAACGAGCTTACCAACTTCAGAACACGCGTTTGGAAGATTGCCAGACGAGACCACAGCAATCGTCCGTCTAGTTCACCACCCTGATGGAAAGAAGATTTTTTCCAAAATTCAATTAGATTTATAACAAGAAACAAACAAACAAACAATCCTGGGTCTTGGGTACGTTTGGCAAAATTGTAAAAATAAAACATGGGGGGAAAAAAAAACATTGGAAACTGCCCAAAAACCAAATAATAATCAACTGGAAATACCAATCAAACCAAACAAAAGATGTTTCAGAGGAAGGTGCAAAAAAAAAAAAAATTAGGCCCATTGCACACAAGGCTTGTACTGTTGCCAAAAAGAGACGTCCATTTCTCCCTTGCCCATCTGGAGATGGGTTATTGGTAAGGCTGGGTGATATTAGAGGAGAATTCTGGTGGGGATTGTATAGGCAGGGTAACTAATCTTCGTTCTGTTTCTATTGTCATGGAGTTAGTTGATTTGATCTTAGGGTAACTGACAGGACTGTTTGTCAATTAGTGTGTTTTTAAAAGATGGTCAAGGATGCCCAGATCATTGGATGCGCAGTGTTTTATTGTAGAGTAGTAAAAATGTTAATAAATTAATAAAAAATGCAAGAGACGCATTCCAATTCTTTATCTAAATGCTTGTAGCTTAACCCTAATTGTCAGGGCAGAATCTGAACATTTGTGTGGTTTTCAAGTGAAGATCAGTAATTGTTTTTTGCCCCAACATACTTCATAAAGGCTACACAGATTCCAAGGCCAGAAGGGACCATTGTGATCAGCTAGTCTGACCTCCTGTATAACGCACAAAATGACTCCTAGAGCAGCTCTTTTAGAAAAATATCCCTTCTTGATTTAAAAATTGCCAGTGATGGAAAATCCACCACGACCCTCAGTAAGTTGTTCCAGTGGTTAATTACCCTCACTGTTAACAATGTACACCTTACTTCCAGCCTGAATTTGTCTAGCTTCAACTTCCAGCCATTAGATTGTGTTAGACCTTTCTCTTCTAGGCTGAAGAGCCCATTAAAAAAGACTATTAAGATGATTTCATTGTACTTAAAGCACTGTAGGTAATGTCATTTTTAAGTTTCAGTTTCCATTACTGGAACTTATGGGACCAGCTAAAGAGAAAACTTTACAGCATATTGTCTTCCACTGTGAATACCTACATTGAAAATATGCTCCTACAAATTAACATTTTCTCAACACGGAAACTACAGTTGATCATTAACTTCATGATAAAATCAGCAGAATCATTGAAATGCTCTGGAAATAATTACTGGCGATAACAACATTTTCGTATAACAAACAGAGCAATGAAACATGGAATTACTATACCAGCAAAATCATTACGAATTAATAATATACAGTATAACAACACGATGCGGAAATTCTGTCACTATGTAGCCCATTGATTGCACTGATGTTATCCGCAGGTTGCACTGAGGTTATTTCCAAGGGCTCTGACCCTAATCTGCCACAAGAGAAGGAAAGAGAGTCTATAAAAACAAGCTCTTTCTTTCATAGACATCCTGTGCCAATAAGGTAACTTCAATCCCTACTGACCAGTGTTCTGATTGGACCATCTGAACACTTTGTGGTAACTTTGAACATTCTACATTAAACGCGTTTTTAAACTTTGTAAAACAAACAGTCCTCCAAACCGTATCATCTTCTTCTAAGTTAAATAAGAAATTATAGAAAGTAAATAGCTTCTATGTTGATTAATAAATCAACGTCTCAGTGCGCACAGTCTTGGTTCTGTAACTGGCTAAGCAACCCAAACATCATCAATATCATAGGAACTATAGTACGGACAATTGGTTAAATAACTGTAATTAACCAACAAGAATGTTGTCCTGTTTACATCCTAGTCTTCTCACAAGGTGTCACAGATTCCAGAATCATGGCAAGAAAATCTGCGTGCTTTCCAGTTTTATTTTGAAATTCAGACCACGTCGTTCCTTCAGATACATTGTTTATATAGTATATTGTCTAACCGTTTTCCAGCTAAGATGATTGCTTTCCTGACCCATCATTACTATGTTTAACTGGGGGCGTGGCATCAAATTTGCAATCCCTTAACATTTTCTGTAAACTGGAGAGTCTTGAAATCCACTCTCCTATTTTTTGCAAAGAATCACTGCCCTGCATTACCTCCCTTCAGAGCCGGGACTCCAGTTTTGACCTGTTATGAATTGCTAAGTTTTATTAATCAAATAGCACTGAAAGCTAAATAAGAAATTGCACCTGTGGCACAGGCAACACGGCTCTTGGAATATTAATGTAGCCTGTATGAAACCAGAGCTTCCTGCTGATTCATATTGCCCCAGCGCTTATGAACAGGACCTGATCATTTTTCCAGTCTCAGAAACAGTCAATAGCGAATGAAGACAAAGCACAGGAGAAACACGTGCAAAAGGACCCAAAGACTCCTCCCTGTTCTGGTTACAGGGCTACATGCAGTGTGTGTAGAATAGGGCTCATGGCATGAGTGAAGCCAAACAGCTGGAAGATTTAATCTTGCTGTAAAGTTCAAGAAATGTAACAATACACAAAACCAGACTGAAACCGCACACATAGTAGACAGGATATTGGAGCACAGTTCTATTGGCCAGTATAGCCGTCTTATTCCAGTTGAAGCATAAACCCCAGAGCTAGAAAAGCCAGGTCTGGCCAGCCTCATTTACATGACTTATAATGCTGCTTTCCCTTAGTTCCACACACTGGGTTATGTTGCTGTGGTTGGAATTTGCCTGTGTTCTGATTGTATAACTGATCACTGGTTGTGACTGTACTCGAAGAAAGTGCCTCAGCATCGCGCAAGACAAGAGGGTCACCCTGAGCTCACAGGCAGAGGTTAACAAGAGAAGGCAGAGGGATCTGTTGTAGAGACCAGGAGCTCCGTCCCAGGGAGCTGGGATTCTCTCCAAGCGGCCTGTTTTGCTCTAGGTTTCCCACCCGGAGGTTTTGAACCCTGTGCAGAGAAAGTTATAGCAAGGCCCAACCAGACAGCAGCACAGAGCTGACTTCACGCTGCCCCAACAGGCTGCGGTGGGGCAGAACTCACCTGGCAGAAGAACCAAGGAGACCAGCAATGGAAGAGCTGGCACGATAGAACTGGGTCAGGTAACTTCACATTGCAGCGGGTTCTGGTGGCGTGGATGTCTCCAGGCTGGCACAGACAGGTGGCGAAGAGGCACCCCTGGATGCCCTTGACTACCACCAGCATCTTGCGGGCAGAACATATTGAACCATGGTTTGGGTTCATACCAGTAGAACTGTGTTCCTGTCCAGCCTGGAAGAAGTCAGGAGAAGCGGGAAGAGGTTACTGGACATCACAAAATAAAAAGCTTATCCAAATAGATTGGATTGCTAGTTAGCTAAAGGAGGAGGGGAAAGCCAGCATTTTAATCTTCATATGAAGGAGACAGTAGGATTAAAACAAAACAAAACGTGGAAATATACCTGTTGCATGGGAAAACCTGGCTTCAGCTCAGAGTCCTGCTGAGCTAGTAATAGTCAAATATATTGAGGCTGGCTCCCGCCGGAGCTCCTCCACCGCCAGCTCACTACCGTGACCCTTGTTGAGATGACTTTTGGAACCAGGTCAGCTTGGCCAAGTCTAAAGGAGCACTCCGGTTGAAACCAATGGAGGAAAAGCTATTTCTAGGAACCAGGCTCTCTCAGTGGGTCCTCTCAGCTTGATGCTGAAAACCCCTAGAACTGTAACAGCGACTGAGGTCTTCTTTTGACTTTACCTTCAGGAACTACAAAGACCAACAGTGCAACAAAGGCATATAATAGTCACGTAGACCAATGTTTAACTGATTTCAACCACATGGAAGTTCTAGGGTTTAGGGACCCTAGACCTGTTAATTCCAGCAACCTATGAGGACATAGCAATTTCTACTAGGCATTTTAAATCAGCCAGGTCAATTACATTATAATTAGCTCTAATTAACAGCCTCAGAGTTCCCATTGAACTCTTTATCTGCAGCATGGTTTCACTCAAAAGGGGCAAAATTTTTCCCTTCCTGCAAAACATCCAAGTAAAATCCACTTCCTCTGTGATCCTTAGGACTAATCATTTCACGGGAGGGCAAAATGTATAGGCACTACTGGAATCTGAGTTCTGGAAAGTCCAATCTGATCTGTGTGCCCACTGATCATTATAATTGGTGATCAGCAGAACACAAAACGCCCCCATCATGCTGAATTTTTAACATTAGTTAACTGTTCAACTTTAAGCCATTTTGAAAAAGCAACAGGAAGAAGTTAATCGAGGCATAAATGATCTCTTACAAAAAATGTACCTAGGAAATTCTATAATGTACAATTCCATTTCAGTAATTGGAACCAATGATGTACTGCAGATAGAACCTTTATGTGTTGTCTATTAATACTAGTATTCGGAAGGTGCAATGTCTAGCAGAGATGTTTAACGCAGTCACAGTTAGAGGAAGAAGATACTAAAGCAATAGCTACAGACTAGAAAAGAAAAGAAAAAAGCATTTTAGATGTTAAGCGGAGAATATGGACACGCCATTCCTACTTCCTGTAGCAAAAGCAAGTATAAATGATCTGCACACTTGGCTAATGCCGGTGTGAATATACACAGATGAGACACATTAGCTTAGGGAAGGAAAGGATGTCTTTCTAAAGTCAGGCTGCAAACTCTCTCTCTGATAGACAGACACTCAAGCACCATTTGCTTTTCCAAATTGTCAGATGTCTCAAAGTGCTTTTCAAATAAGTAATTACATTGAGAAAGGCAATGTACAAGCACGCATCACAACCTTAAGTGTAAGCAACACTATTGTTAGTGCCCCGTGAGCTGTGGTGATCAAAGGCATGACAGTGGTGGGGGGTGGCAGCCTAGAGAGCACATTTGCTACCCTGAAATAACATCATTATCCCCTGATAGTCCCCGTGTTTCAAATGGTTTGGAAGCCTCAGTGCTGTGATCCATTTCTAGATGAATACAAATTTGGATATGATAATCATGGGCTAAATTCACCCTAGTGTCGCTCCATCAACTTCACTGGACTCCATCAGGGGTGAATTTGGCCCTGTCCATTTTTGCTAAATTTAGATAATCAGAAATGCATAAATTTGTTACCATTCATCAAAGAGAGCTTGAGG